CAAATCAGCTGCATTCTCTGAAATTTTCAACCAAATACTTACCAACAGCAATGCCACTGATTCATCTTTGTCATCAATACAAAAACTTATACTCACCAGCGTCGCTAAAAGGGATATTTTGGCACAAGAAACTTGTCATCTTCTCCTAAGTATTCCCTTATATCATTTCAGCTGAAATTTTGTTACTTTAAACCTCAATAATGAAGTTTTGAGGTAGATTCGTAAAAATAGTAATGATGAAAAAGATGAGACATGAACTAATATTAAAGATGCAGGACACATAACACAATCACCCCTAAGAAAGTATTGGGACCGGCCCAACAATCTTGAGGAATTTTCACTTTTCAAGCTTAACCTAACACACAAGATAGTTAATAGTAAATGGAAAAGATGCAACAAAGAAAATATAGTTTGCATCTGGCCATGACTATCACCATTGCGAAATGGAGAACAATAGGAAGAATTCTATAGAATCAAAGTTCTACTCCACGTATCTCACCAAAATATTCAACAAATCAAAGAAACTGATAACATGGCATGGTTAACGATATATGACCAAAATATTGAAATGATAAATAGGGTGAATATGATTGATTTATTAGAACTCGCTATCGAAAGAGAAGGAATAACTACAGAAGATGAGGACAGTGAATATGAAGTTGATGAAGACAGTGAATAGGAGGAGGCCTTTTGTTATAACTAAATGTATCTTGCGGAGATCGGACCAAACACAAAAGATATTAGCAAGTTGGACTTAGGAAGCAGGAACATGGACAGAAATTACAATTGGGTCAATGACGCATGAAAAAATTATTTTGTAGAAGACTTAACAAATGCCTGCAAGTTTCTACGCCAAGCTTCAACAAATGGTAAGAAGGTAAGTAGAGGAAATGACGAAGATAATATCAACATACAAAAACTAAATCAAAACCAAAAAAGGGTTCATTAACAAATAGAAATGCATTACCAAGATATAATTTTGGGGAATCAACCAGAACCATTGAGAATAATCATCATGGGTATAGCGGGAACAAATAAATCTTACTTAATCAGAGTAATATGAAAATAACTCAACTTGATGAAAGGAAGCGATTCAAATACGCTGGTATGAGTTATTGCATCTACTGGTATCGCAGCATACAACATAAACGGTGTGATAGTTCACTCAACATTATCATTACCAATCTACAACAACCAAAGTTCTGATTTAAATGTAAACAGGTTGAAAAGATTGCAAGAAAGATTACAGGATGTTATTTACCTCATTATAGATGAGAAAAGCATGATAGGATGTCGAATGCTTTCTTTGATCGATTTGAGGTTAAGATAAGTAACACCTGAAAGAAAAGATGAACCATTTGGGAGAAAATCAGTTATATTATTCAGAGATTTTGGTAACTTCCACCAGTACTCGATCTTCCAATAGATGCAGATAATAGAACATATGACGTAAAATCCAATAATAGTATAAGCGTATACAATGAATTCAGAGAGATTTACAGACTCAATATAGCATAGAGACAATCAGGATCAAGCAAAGAGCAACAGTTCTTCTGAGATATACTTTTAAGATTACACAAAGGGGACAGCATCCTAAAAGATTGGAAAATACTAAGTAAAAGATTTGAGGAAAATCTTAAAAGAGCAGAACGCGAGGAATTTTCAGGTGCAGTTTTAATACTTACCACATGGAATGATGTAAACAGAATCAACACAGAAACATTCTAATCATTGAAGTGACCAGTGGCAAAGATTCTGGTGGAACATACAGGCAGATATGAGGCTAGAAAAGCAAATTCCGACGTGCGAAAGGACTTGTAAATGAGTTGCTATTAGCGAAAGAATCAAGAATCATGTTAACAGCAAATTTATAGACTGAAGCTGACCTAGTGAATGGAGCATTAGGTATAATAAAAGATATAGTATTTGAAGAAAATGGACCCCCTTCATTCCTGACAGCAGTTTTCATCAATTTTGATACCTATGAAGGGGTTACAATAACAAACTCTGAAGGCATCAAGGTAGTTCCAATAAGACCAATCAAACGAATCTGGGAAGGTAAGAACGGCAAATTTGTTCAAGATTTCAAGTTCTTATATGCCTGGCATGAACAGTTACTGTACACAAAAGTCAAGGTCTCACGCTTTCAAAGGTCAAAAGTGACATTGGTACTAAAGAATTCACCGCAGGACTTTCATTTGTTGCAATGTCACAAGTTCATGCGCTCAACGACATTTATTTCAAGTCTTTTGACTTCAATATATAAAGAAGAGTAAAAGGTTGCAAGAAAGAAAAGACAAAGAAATACGCTTATTCACTTTGATACTACAGCAGTAATACACACATACGAACGCAATGCATAGTCTCAAAGGGATATAATATATTTTTATTTTATAATGATTTATTTATTATTTAAACGTCTAATAAAAATAAATACAACACATTTTAGGGAGATATATGTTGCGGGCAGTTTCTCTTTTAGGAAAATGTATTACAGTATTTATAAATAGCCGATATTTGTCATCTCAAATGATAAGTGGGCAAACAAACAGACACAATGCATAGAAAGTAAATAGTCCTTCGCTAACGCTCCAGACTAATAAAGATTGTAGAAAAGAGTTACATAGAATTGGTGATTTTATGGAATATGTGAATATCGCAAAAGAGCAAAACATGAAAATAGATATCAATTATTATTTAGGATCAACAATAGCAATATGCACACTCTTTATCAATAAGGATGATAGCTATCAACTATCCCTGTCAGATAAAATAATGCAGATCAAGGATTCAGATAAAAGGGAAAAGCAGATTGATGAATATTCTCAGAAAAAAGCAAAAAATTAGCTTATAAAATATATCAAGAGTCTTCAATAAACTTTCTAGGTATTTTGAGAATTCATCTGAAACTACCTAACTATATGGTTAAGTACACTTAGTTGAAATTGCCACACCTTTGCTAGAATACTTAGCCAGGTGTTTCGCATAATATTATTTACATATTTTTTTTTTCTCATGCAATAATACCAGCTAACTTCAATTCCTATCTTCGAATTTCTGACCTCCGATCATATAGCCCAACCTCAAAAATGCCTGGGAATGATTAGCTAAAAAACCTACATATTTTAAAGATAAGCTTTATTGGTATAATGGCTGAACTATATAACTAGGTTTCCTAGTACACAGGCTTCGAACCTAACAAAATTCGTTTTTCTATCACAGAAGAGGATAGACAGGTATTTTATAAAATAATAATAGAACAGGAGGGAATGACAGATATTGTAATACATGACTATCAATTTTTATAACAATATGGGCATAATGGTAAGGGAGGTGAATATATTCATATTGGATGGTTATTAGCATGTACAGTAGCCCATTCTGAGAAGATCTTAATAAATCCACCCAAAAATTTATCAGAAAAGGTATTAATTAGCTCACATTAAAAAAAAATTTGAAGAAGTCTCACTTGCATTAATACTTATACAGTATTAGTTAGCAAAGCTAATAGCCTATTTATATATTTTTCATATGTGAAATAACCCCACATATTCCATATTTTTTTTTCAACCACGAGCCATATAATTGCAAGAAGTAGTAAAGTAAGTATGGTATATGTTATCAATAGTGATATTAAGGAGTTCACAATGATAGGAATAGTTAGTACTAGAGCATTACTTGGGCTGATAACATTACTTCTACACCACCTAATTGCTTCGTAATCCTTCACTCAAAATATACTTTTCAGAATGTATTATTTGATTATAAACATATTGATTAGATAGGATATCTGCCTGACTTCCTGTAACTATCTCATCTTGAGGTAATAGCTCTTGCAAAACCTCTAATACATTTTTTCTAGCAAAACTTTTATTGAATTCTATAACTTTATTTTTAAGACCAAGCTTATAGATGAGAGGTCTTAAATCATCACTGACCTATCCTGGTAGTTTTTGCAATAAATTGTTCATAGGTGAAGGCAGAAAATTAGAGAGATCTGTTATTTCATTATGCAAAGCGCCTTTCGGCTCTTTCTTCAACAGTAATTCTTGAAGATGAGTATTTTTCTCAAGTAATTTTGATCGCGCTAAAAATAAAGAATCTATCATCTGATTGTATATGTTATTTGATGATTCTATCCCCTTTTCCATACATTCTATTTCATGTTTTTTTTGAATTAAAGTCCTCATTCACTTCAGTTTGAGCCTGAAGGATTCTATTACGAATGAGTCTATTCGGATCAGTTCCTTTAATAGTCCTCCCACTATATGCAAATCATGTTTTAGTTCCAGATCTAGCAACTTACCTTCTAATTCAACTACCTTAGCTTTAAGAAAAAGTATCTTGATCTTGTCAGTGGATGAAGCTTTCTGTGTCAAAGTTGCTCCTCTCTTTAGGATTTCATATTGGATTTGAGTAATTTGATTTCGGTAGAATATTTGGTTTCAAGCTCAATACAGGACATCCGTTCATAAGTAATTTAAAATGTAAGCTTAGTATTTGCACTATTTAGCTGGCTAACTTTATTTCCAATATCAGCATAGATTTGATGGAACTCCTTTTCTTACCTATCATATTTATCTACTAGCTTTTCAGTAAAATTATTAATCTCAGAATTAAATTCAGTAACAGATCTTAATTTTTTTCAAGTTCTTGCTCATATGCACTAACCAGCTGATGTCTTCTATCTTTTATATCTTTCAGTATACGTACATTAGACATAATATTGCATGGTTATATAGTAGAAAAAAAATATGTTGCAATTTTTTAAGATCGCATAGTCCCGAAAATTTTGGAAGCACTTTGTTTTTCCATAAATACTATGCATATTGATACATATTGGTGAGCATTGAAAACATATTAATATACATTGAAGAGTATTAATACATATTGGTAGGCATTAAAATATATTAATAATACACATTAAAAAGTATTGATATGTATATATTAATATGCATTGAAAAGTATTAATATTTTTTCTAGTATAAAATCAAGTGAAGATGTTAGTCCATCTCCATAATACATATTATGATGCTAAGGCAACCCTGTTATCAGAAGCTGATATTAAGGAAATTAGAGAATCAAGAGGTAAGATACCCAATGCATCAAAAAAAGGCTGATAAATTTTATATCAGACCTAAGCATGTTTATGAAATATGGGATAATAAAAAACGCCTTCAGCAAGGAGTTATTTTATTTTTCTTCAGTCAGCCTGTTTTGGATGAGAATTTCCAAACTAATAAGATAAAATAGACTGAGTCAGATATATATAGTCAAAATATATCCTTTTTACAAAACTGGAAAAAAAGATATGTAATGTTGAGGTTGAGCCTAGTATATCTACCAATTTGGCTTCAGAAGGGAGTGTTATTTTAGGCAGTAAGGCGAAAAAGACTGGAGGGACTAAGCTGAAAGAAAAATCCAGGTCAAAGTCTATTCGTATTTCTGAACCATCCATTACTCAGATACATTCTTTAGAATCGATTCAATCAATCTTCATGAATTTAGAAAGCTCAAATATAAAGAGGAATTTTATGCATTACATAAGAAATTGGAAAAAAGGAGCATAGAAAATATAACGAATCTGAAAAATAGATTAGAAAAATAACTCACTTATTCCCATTTTTTCTCATATTCATTGAAAAAGATAACCTATCAAGATACACTATTAGTATAAGTTATTAGGGTAGACTATCTCCTGTAGTGTTGAAGGTACAAGGGAGTGGATCAATAGAGGGGAATTCATCATAGCGTGTCTGTAATTTTTCATAATACTCATTAATTTTTGCATTATACTTAAGAGTGCTATATAGCATTTTTTCAAGCTCCTCATAACTCACTTTTTTTAATGCACCATCTTTACTTAAGTCTTACAAGTCTTGTGAAATTCTATCTGAAGTCGAGAAATTATCACATTCAGGAATAATGTTTGCGTAATTCACCTCAAGCTTATTCTTGACCTTATGCATATTGAGTGGAATAAAAAATTTCTTACTATTACATTCTAGTTTTAACTTACACTTTGATGCAAGCAAATCATAATTATATTTATTAAGAAGTATATTAGGTAAGATCAGCATCAGTTTAGAATACTTAACTATAGCAAAATCAGCATATATAATACACTTAGATATGAAATTTACTGGGATATTACTAACAATTCTGAGTAAAGCTCTGCATAAGCTGAGCTGATTTGTGAGCCTCATGAGCCAGCTCGCGAAAGCTTAGCTTGAGCCGCAATAAAATGGCTTGTGAGCCGATCAAGCCAGCTCATGCCGTGGCTCAGCTCATTACGTAGCTCGGCTCATTGGCTTGGATTTTTTATTTTTGAAAAAACAATCCAGGAGTATTAACTTTGAAGAAAAATGCTTTCGACAACAATTTCTTCGAAATTAATGATTCCAGAAATGATTCTTCAAAGTTAAATGATTCTAGCAATGATTTCTTAAAAAAAATGATTCAGTAACGTTTACTTCGAAGAATAACACTTTAGGAGGGTTATTTTTAATTTATAACTAAAGATAAAAACTGTAATTAATATGTTGTAACTTTTAATGTTGCAACTTACGTTGCAATTAGTTTTAACCTATATATATTGCAACTTATAATGTTGCAACATATGTTGCAACTAATTTTAGATTATGTTGCAACATTTTGTAAATTTGAAATCAATTGCTGTACCATCTTTAGTACTGGCTATTTAAAGAACAGGGGAGAAAAAAGGAAAATCCTGACCCAACCATTTCTTTCCATGGAAAAGAATCCAGAACGTGCTAGAGAATTACTCATCTGGATCTGAGATAGAATTAAAGCAGAAAAGTTGCATGATTTCATCTATACTGAAAGCGGAACACGTAATGCTTGGCCATTTAATGAATTCTTAAAGCAAGAACCTTATAAAACTATACCTAAAAATTAAGAGATTATAGAAATAAACACGCTTCCAGAATCCATAGTGGTAAGAACCCAACTCCCTAGTATCTTAAACTGCTTTCGAGAATCGCATTAAGGCAAGAATCTGATCGTCTTGATGCAGGTGATAATTATGCTATAAGTGATACAGAATCAGAAGACTTTGATCCCGAATCTGACCATGAATCTGCTTTCGAGGCAAATAGTTCAAAACCTCAAACACCCGCCAGCATCCCAATCACCCGGGATTCTCAAAAGTTTCAGACAATAAAAATGGATTTCATGTTAGCTGAAATTGATGCAATGTTAGCTGAAATTCGAAAATAAATTCCACCCTTATACCTTTAGTACTGTGGAAGATAAGCCAGCTGTTTAGTGAAAAATTTTTTGAAGTTGATGCTAAAAAACACGTGTCTGTTCTAATTTGGAATGCAGATCTTTGATCAAAGGAGGATGATTACGTACTTTTATTTTTTGATTAAAGTATAGCAGATTTATTAATAAAATGTCAGATGATGAGATGGATGCTGAGACAAAAGAGCGTTACAATGAAATTATTAAAGAATAGGATTGAGATATGAATGGGATAATGAAGGGATTTCCGAATTTATACTAGAGTGAAAAGACTGGGAAGATCTTTTTTGTGAAATCAAAATCTATTAGAAGACAAAGGCAGTCAGGCATTGGAGGAAGAAAACACTTAAACAGTTTGTATATAGTTTGTCTGGTGTAAGCAATCCAATATCAATACTCCATATATTTATACAATCTGATGCTTTTTACCTCTCACAAATTTTAAGCCTGATAGAATTATCATGTGATGCTGAGGAACTTCGATGAGAAATATGGCCAGATGGTATAGATACAGATAAGATTAAAATAGATGACAACGCAAATGAAATAGATAAGTTCTGATGTGGGTTATTGCTTCAAGACAAAGACTCAATAGCGGATTATTATTCAAAGATAAAGAGATGTAATAATATTGTCAATCTTTGTAAAAGTCATCTCCATGTGTATTCTTTGATGGACTAACAACAGAGAATAAAAAGCATATCACAAAATCTGGATTTTATCATGTTTATGATCTTGATAAAGTAGTAGAAATGCTTATTTGAGTTGAAAAGAAAAATGTGCCTGATTTTATTATTGCATTTAGTAATTATCTTAGATAGGTTAGTAATGTTCAGATTTTGACACAATCTGGATTCTCTAATAATAATTTTCCTAAAGGTGCTTCTGAAATTAACAAGACCCTCTATGGTAGGGTGGTATACTACCGATCTAACTAGTCCAGAGTGGTGATCATCAGTTTGGAATATTTTTTTGCTGAGCTACAGATTATGTGACAAAAAAATATATATTAGCTAACCTATTCTAGACATGTACACTGATGGGTACTAGCTGAATTTTTTATGAAAAGTTTATGCAATTGTTGAGAAGAAAGTTTCAGAAATAATGAAAGTCCTTCCCAGGTAAACCAAATTTTCTTTACTTCCACTTCGTCACATTTCTTTAGTATCACATTTAGACTATCTTCTAATGGACCATGAAATTTCTCAAACTTTTGAAGTAATTTCTTACTTCTTCATCAGCATCTTTCATCTCCAATTGGTTAGTATAACCAGCAATGTGAAGTTCTTTCAGAATTGCTACTATATCATCTTCTAAATGTAAGATCAATATAAATAATTCCTTGGATAATATATCAGTAGAAGCTCTATTGCTTCTAAGCTTCACTTCTAGAATGGGATTGCCATCAATATTGAGATTTTTCTGTATTGATATTATATCCTTCACTAAAGCTAATAACAACTCATACGTATCAGCAAGGGTTTTCACTTTTTTGATTTGATGGATTACTGTTTGATTTGTATTACTATTAAAACCAAGTTCTTTCTGAATAGCTTTTATATCCTTCTTTGTATATAAAAGAATATTATATAATTGAGCGGAAGTATTATTGGTATTTCTTGTCATAATTGTGTTTATTTCTGGTTAGCATATATTTAATTTTGAGTCTGAAATTTTGTTCATCAGCCTGAAGTAGTGATCTCTTTGTTCAAAAGAAGAATTTTTTTGCTGAGCCACAATGCATGTACTCCTGTGCGACAGAAATAAGCAATGATTAACCTATTTTTCTGATTGAAAATATTTAATCAATCTACTAGCAAAATGTCATATGACGAGATAGATGAAGGCTACAATGAATTTATCAAAGAATATAGATCAAGATATGAATAGGTAATGCGAGAATTCTGATGAGTGGGGATATTGGGATGATTTTTTTTGTACAATCAAAACCTACTGGGAAATAAAGGCAGTTAGGCGTTGGAGAGAGAAAGTGCTTAAGCAATTTGTATATACCTTGTTCAGTCTAAAAAATCCAACGTCATTATTTCATGTATTCCTACAATCTGATGCCTTTTATCTTTCACAAATATTGAGTCTGATAAAATTGCCATATTGTCTGCATAAACTTCGAAGGGAAATATAGCTGAATGGTATTGAGAAATTCTGATGTAGATTGTTTATTTAAGATGGAGAATCAATAGTGGATTACTGTTTAAAAGCGAAGAAATGTAATAATACCATCAAACTTTGTAAAAGTCATTTTAGAAGTGAATTTTATAGTGGATTAATGCGAGAAAATATGAGATCTATTGCAAAAAATAATTATTATCGTGAATTGGTAGAAATGCTTATTCAGGCAAAAAAAGAGTCAGTAACTGATATTATAACTAGGATTAAAGATTATATCAGTCAATGTAGTACAATACTTATTGAGAGGCATACATTGGGTAACTAACACGAGCAAAGGTAGTCTAAAGCAGTAATCTTCAGCTCAGAAGATTTTTGCTGAGCCACAATTGTACGACAAAATAGGCTGATTACATAATAAGTCTATGTGACATTTTTGCATATTAATTTTGCATATATGTTTGCTAACCAATACCTCTATCTTTTTCCCCGTACAAATATGAGAAAAATGTGAAAAGAAGTCTAATTGCAACACAGGACTTTCTTATAAGTTAATAGTAATGGCAAAAGCATATATTATGAAAGGCTGGTGGACTTACAATTCTGAGATCACCAGGTATAAAGCTAACTATATGTCTTTCCAGTAAATCTATATTTAAAAAGATAAAGATTCCATTTATATGTGCTTTCAAGGGACTCTTGGCGTCAGACGAAAATACTAATCACTTTTCATATCTCCTTTTTTTAGCGGAATATAAAGCATGAAGCGGTGTGTGGAAGTTTCCGTTCACTAACTTTTCACAAAATTTATAAGGTGCGTATATTTCAGAAGTTATGTATGTATGGAAATGAAAATTTCTCACTATAGGACATTGTATTTAGGAAAACAAGATGTCTTCCTGAGCCGAAATGATAAAACTATGGGAAACTGAAAGACTTATCAGCTTTTTGAGGAGTGATTCAAAATTAGAAGGCTTAAAACTTAACGATAACTTTTTTACGAAGTTTTATGATGAAAATATCACTGGTGATTTATTTCTCAGGCTAACAGGATGGGATTTAAAGGAATACAAAATGACATTAAGATAGGCATTAGAACTTGAGGATTATATTAAGGAACTATGTGAGTAATTAAATGTTTCTTATAGCTGTATTTTATTGATGAGATCCTCATTATCCTAATAGTCTTATTTTATAAATCAAGATAATCGAAAAGGAGCATTAGGAGTTTACCTTGTGAAAGGGTTTAATTCGAAATCAAGTGATCCCCCAACCAGTTAGAAAATTTTTATTTATATTTGTGTCATGTAAAGCTATATTTGCAATTTTTTATGTATTAGTTGCTCTGGCAATGTTTTTTTTATTTCTTAAATAAAGCATATATTACATTCTTGTCAAGGGGAATTTCTCTCATATATTAGACTTTAGTATTTTTCGCAAATAAAATTCTTTTCAGACCTCTGAAATATAACACACTTTTTTTCATCTGAGCTAATATCTCCTATAAAAACTCTATATCAAATACGAATACTTCAGCTACCTCTGTCACAGGAAATGAGGCACTTACGTTAGCGGATGAAGTCAAAAAATATGATACAGAGGCTCTTATTAACTTTTTGTGGGAATAGGACTTAAGGTTTAGTGAGACAGCTCTTAAAACTTTAGAAAATGAAGAGATTAATGGCCGTATCTTCCTGAAGGTAACTGAAGAAAAGCTTTACAGTTATGGTATGAAGGGTGGATTAGCGACAGATTTTGCGGATTTACCAAGGAATATAAGAAGAAAATTAAGGGCCTTTTTAACATACAAGATTAAGAAAGACTTGAGTGCTTCACAAGTATGAAATTGACAGCAATGGTATAAAAAGTATCCCCTCTTTCAAGCTGTATAAGTTTGTAGTAGAAATTCTTGGGTAATACATTATGCTCGCACCTTCAACTAAAAACCTAATAAAAGCTGACCTTTTCACAAAGACAGAGAAAATTGATGACAATGACAAATTTTTCCAATGATGCATAGACGACATAAATATAGAATAGGTAATTTAGGTCCTGCAAAAAGTAGTATTGAGACTGTATGTTATGAGTATATTTCCACAATATTACATGTATCTATCTACATAGTTAAAGAATTATCTTTCCTTAAATCCACAGTTCGAAGTTGTAGGTGGAGGCGAGTCGATTATACAACCAAAAAATAATAATCAAGAATTAATATGCATCACAGAGGGAAAGTAAAAACAAGAAGCCATAGGCATTATACAGAATGTCATGCAACTCGAAAGCTTCTTTCACACAAATAAAAGAAAATGAAAAGTTGATGAAACTTTTAAAGATTATTTCAATTATCTTTATGGTATCATTACCACAGCCATGAACTGGTACTTTATAATGTATATACCAGAAAAGATCTATTGCATGAAAGCCAACTATTACATCACCCTTACCGAAGATGTTTTGGATAATAATGATGATAGAGAACTTCGCCAAGGTATGAAGAAAGTTATGAAAGTTATTGTAGATTTGCTGAAAGATAGGGTAGAGGTTGATGACTTTCCTGATCTTAAGAGAGCAAGGATGGAAAATTTTATTAAGGAGTAGTCGTGTATATTACGTAATCATTAGCATAGTCTTTATATATCACAAGCGGAGTTCTGAACTTTTGTATTTATTTTACATGTATTAATAAAAAAAATTGAATTTTGTAGGTGTATATGATAAGTGAAAAAATAGTCATAGAACTGCAATTCCAGGACTATAAACAATTTATTATATTATAATCACGCCTTAAATTCACACTAGAGCCAATATATGTTTTGGCCCTAAAACACTCATCTTGGTAAATGCATCATATAATGTACCTGGTCTATGCTTTGAAGGATCTAAATTCGAATGATGGAGGAATTTCATAAACACGTCATTCCTTCAAGCTTTCGATTCTTTATGCTTCCAAGTCATTTCTATTAGTATAGTCAAGTTATCACTGGAAAATTTATTTGGATTAGGTTTTGAAGTGAAGATCATTTATTTTTTCAATGGTGAATAAACTCATTCCTCCTATAACAGCAGACTCCACACTAATAATAAATTTTTTGCAAATATCTACTCTTTCTGCTAAGATAGATAAGGACGAAATTAGAGCTGAGTGATAGAAGTCGGCTAAGGAGTTCAATTCAAATTTGCCAACATACATAGTCCTAAAATCTTTTAAATAATCTGAAAGTCTATTAACATATTTATAATCTTCACGAATCAACTTTTAGAATAACTTTCCATTTGGGTCAATCTATCAGTCTGTTAAAATATTGAGTACTGTTTTTTGTGTATCCATATAAATGAAATAGTATAATGTGATATATATTTTTGTTTATGATATACTTTTTCCACCCAAGTTCAATTCAGATTTTTCAATTTGAAATTCGAATTCTATAATGAAAAAGGTGCAAGAATATAATAAATGGATCATCTTACCTGTCCACATATTAGAAAGGATGGAAGCACTTGTGGCTGAGTCTGCATCCGCTTAGCGGGATGCTCACTTCACTAAAATCTGATGCAAATAATATGCTAAAATCTCCATGTAGAATATGCGATAACCTACATTATCTTTTACGGGCTATTGCTCCAAGCATGCCAAAAAAATTTATTGTCATCTCGAAAGAGAGAGACAACGAATAAGTTTGTCATAATAATTATGTCTACTTGTATGATAATCGTTTACTTTAGTAAACCCCTTTTAATAAAAAAATTTCTCTTGGAATTTTTTTCTGAGACCGCACGGTCCCAGAAATTTTTGATAATTTTTTGATAATTTTTCAGAACATTAAACAATTCCTTTCATATATAAAATTATTATTATTGATCATGTCTGTTAACGAATCTAACGTATCTGAGCTTGAAGTATTGAAACAATGCATTAGTGAGCTTGTGGCCGAGAATAGTAAGCTCAAGATCATAAATGCTTAAATACCTGATCTTAGAAGAAAGATTTCAGAGTTTGATGCTGAGAGAGCTGAATTTAAGCGCAGGATTGCTGAACTTCAAAGACAGTCTACAGAAGAGAATTTGAGACGTGATGTTAAGAATACTGAACTCAAATCTAGAGTCAATAAGCTTGAGACTAGGCTTGTAATAGTGAAATAGAATTCTATAGCAGTGGAAAGGCAGTCGCAAAATAATAATTCTCCTGATAACAGTTCATCTAACTTTAATTCAGTTGCAGAATATCATGAGAAACCATTGGTAAATGTGAAAACAGATGATTCATCCTCTGAAGAAGTTTGTTTTGACAAACAGGAACTGATAGCAGAGGTGGCAACGATGTCTACCAACTTTGCAAAGCGCCTTAACAGCAAATCATTGGAAGAGAAAGAGTTTGATAAATTCTTGGACGAGGCTCATAAGAAAATTATTAGTAATGAAATAAAGTGACGCAATAAGAAGAAGAATAATAGAAAAATGGGTAGGAGTTGATTCAAGAAATCTCTTCATCTATGCCCAAAGAAAAGAAGAACATCTCTTTGAAACCATCACCAAATCATGTGACTACAATTTTCGAGACTGCGCGATCCTAGAAATCTGATACTATTAACTCAGAATGTTTGCTCTAGTGAACAACCAGTATGATAGAAGTATTTCAGCATTTGGCTCAGTTATGTGATAAAGCGCTTATTACAGAAGAGTGTACATTAGAAGTAAATCAAGAAGAAATATTATGCTGGTACCACTATGGGAAAAATTTTCTATTTTAGGTGGAAGCCTTGTATGATAAAAATAAAATTGGCGAAAAGAAGGCAAGAGGCTTATATAGGATGAGATTACGAAGTAACTTAACATCCTTCGTAAGAAAAGATCTCAAGATACAGGGATGCTACTCCCTGTCATAACACGAGATGGTTTATGCAAAAAAACTCAAAGAGCTGAGAAGATCTACAAACTTCTCAAAAAAATAGGATTAGATAAAATCCAATATATCAGGACATATAGTGTGAATGAAATATCAAAGTTTACTAGTGATGAAATCCAAAAGATTATGGATCATTTCTCAAATAAGCCCAGTACAGATTTTAGCAATGATCAGGATAATTCTATTAACGATGATTCTTCCAGTCAAACTGATGCATCAGAGATGCAAGCGGATATCTTAGTTTTAGCTGAGATAAGCATTTCAACTGCACCTATTCTATTAACTCATGTCTCCAATTCTTCAGGTGATTCCTCCAGCTCAAAAAAAATGAATACCAAAGTAGAGATGATACCACCCTTATAAGAAATCAAAATAAGAAAATGATATGTTTTTTATAAGGTTTGTATACGTAATTAATGATTCTATATCAAAATTCTGTATGTTTTATCATGATTTATTTTTTTATAATTTTTTAAAGAATTAATGTATACAATACAGACATATTAAGGAATTTAAAATAACATATAAATTTTACGTAAAATAAAAAAATAAAAAATAATAATATTCAAACCAAAAAAAATTTTTTTTCTTATACTTTTAATATATAGATATCAAATTAAGTTTATAATAATTCTAAAGATTTATTAAATCATTTTTGTCTAATAGATTTAACTCACTTTATTATATTTATCAATCCATAAACAATATTTATCATATTTTACAATAGATACCAATAGTCTTTCGTTTATAAGAAAATTTTTCCATGCTGTTTAAAATGATTTATTTTATAATTTTTAAAAAAATTGATTATTAAAGTATTTGAAATAATATATAAATTTTACATAAAATAAAAAAAATATTTTTCTTATACTTTGAATGTGCATATACCAAATTGAGTTTGAATATTACATTTGTGATGATTCTTAAAATTTCTTCTATTTGATCGATCCATAAACAGATTTATCATGTTCTACAAATTTTTTGTTTAATAATTATTATTAGCCAATGGATATCAATAATCCTTTATTTTCTCATATTGTTTAAAATTTCTCATGCTATTTTATTTGAATATAAAAATCCCTTTTCAAATTTCTTCTTTTTATCAAAGAAAATTTTTTCACTATCAAAATTATTGCTATTTCCCTTTTGTAAGTTTTTGTTTCTCTTTAATGAAATACATTTT